GTGGAGGGATTATACTGGGTGGTGGAGGGATTATGATGGGCTGTGGAGGGATTATACTGGGTGGTGAAGGGATTATACTGGGTAGTGGAGGGATTATACTGGGCGGTGGAGGGATTATACTGGGTGGTGGAGGGATTATACTGGGCGGTGGAGGGATTATACTGGGCGGTGGAGGGATTATACTGGGTGGTGGAGGAATTATACTGGGCGGTGGCAGTTATTAGCCTCCTGGTAATGTTCAGTTTTTGTGTTCTGTCTGTCATGGCGTCTGTCTGTCTGTCAACAGGAAGCTGATGCTGGAGAAGGAACTGGCCAGCATGCTGTGGAGGATCAGATGGGAGGAGCTGCAGTTTGGAAATTCGGAGCGATACCACAAATGCGCTGGGAGCCGTCTGACTCTGTCATTAGTGAGAGTCTCTTCCATCATACCCTCTCTATGATCTCCATGTAGTGTCCTCTTCCATCATACCCTCTCTATGATCTCCATGTAGTGTCCTTATCCATCATACCCTCTCTATGATCTCCATGTAGTGTCCTTATCCATCATACCCTCTCTATGATCTCCATGTAGTGTTCTCTTCCATCATACCCTCTCTATGATCTCCATGTAGTGTCCTCTTCCATCATACCCTCTCTATGATCTCCATGTAGTGTCCTCTTCCATCATACCCTCTCTATGATCTCCATGTAGTGTCCTTATCCATCATACCCTCTCTATGATCTCCATGTAGTGTCCTCTTCCATCATACCCTCTCTATGATCTCCATGTAGTGTCCTCTTCCATCATACCCTCTCTATGATCTCCATGTAGTGTTCTCTTCCATCATACCCTCTCTATGATCTCCATGTAGTGTCCTCTTCCATCATACCCTCTCTATGATCTCCATGTAGTGTCCTCTTCCATCATACCCTCTCTATGATCTCCATGTATTGTCCTTATCCATCATACCCTCTCTATGATCTCCATGTAGTATCCTTATCCATCATACCCTCTCTATGACCTCCATGTAGTGTCCTTATCCATCATACCCTCTCTATGATCTCCATGTAGTGTCCTCTTCCATCATCCCCTCTCTATGATCTCCATGTAGTGTCCTCTTCCATCATCCCCTCTCTATGATCTCCATGTAGTGTCCTCTTCCATCATCCCCTCTCTATGATCTCCATGTAGTGTCCTCTTCCATCATCCCCTCTCTATGATCTCCATGTAGTGTCCTCTTCCATCATCCCCTCTCTATGATCTCCATGTAGTGTCCTCTTCCATCATCCCCTCTCTATGATCTCCATGTAGTGTCCTCTTCCATCATCCCCTCTCTATGATCTCCATGTAGTGTCCTCTTCCATCATCCCCTCTCTATGATCTCCATGTAGTGTCCTCTTCCATCATCCCCTCTCTATGATCTCCATGTAGTGTCCTCTTCCATCATCCCCTCTCTATGATCTCCATGTAGTGTCCTCTTCCATCATCCCCTCTCTATGATCTCCATGTAGTGTCCTCTTCCATCATCCCCTCTCTATGATCTCCATGTAGTGTCCTCTTCCATCATCCCCTCTCTATGATCTCCATGTAGTGTCCTCTTCCATCATCCCCTCTCTATGATCTCCATGTAGTGTCCTCTTCCATCATATCCTCTATGATCTTCATGTAGTGTCCTCTTCCATCATATCCTCTCTATGATCTCCATGTAGTGTCCTCTTCCATCATACCCTCTCTATGATCTCCATGTAGTGTCCTTTTCCATCATACCCTCTCTATGATCTCCATGTAGTGTCCTCTTCCATCATATCCTCTCTATGATCTCCATGTAGTGTCCTCTTCCATCATACCCTCTCTATGATCTCCATGTAGTGTCCTCTTCCATCATATCCTCTATGATCTTCATGTAGTGTCCTCTTCCATCATATCCTCTCTATGATCTCCATGTAGTGTCCTCTTCCATCATACCCTCTCTATGATCTCCACGTAGTGTCCTCTTCCATCATACCCTCTCTATGATCTCCATGTAGTGTTTATCTCCCTCATTGGCCTTCCAGTTCCTCGCTATAGCTCCTCCTACCTCCTTTATGACCTTCCTATTTCTTTATTTAGCTCCTTCCGTCTCTTTTGTTGGTCTTCCTATTCCTTTCTATATCTCCGCCCATCTCCTCCGCTGGTCTTTTCTGTTCTTGGCTATAACTCCTTCCATCTCCATTGTTGGTCTTCCTATTACTCTCCATAGCTCCTCCCATCTCCTTTACTGGCCTTCATCTTCTTCTTTTGTAGCTCCAACTATTTCTCTTGACATGTCTTCTAGTTTATCTGTGACGGTTATCTGAGGTAGTTCCAGTCCACCACATTAGACCTCCGCATGAGTCCTCCTATGCCTTCTGCTAGCCCCCCCCCCCCCCCCCCCCCCCCCCCCCCTCCCTCTTCCCTCCCCCCCCTCCCCCTTCCC